TCATTGCCACGGGATGGCCAATTAGTATAAGCACCACCCGATTCTCATTTGAGTGGGGAGACACTTTAACTTGACTTTGCACTTGTTCCAAAACCAATGCAGTAGCTGTGCGCACCCAACTACAGTATACTAAGTCTCAGCAAGGTGGAAAATACATTTTAAAATTGACTAAAAGACATTTCATGGAGCTAAAGGACTGCCCGGTCATCAGGAATTGAATTCATATAACAATAGTAATAATAACACTGTCACTTTAGTTAAAGTATTTAGGCATTGCAATCAAAATTGAATAGGAATGCCAAGTGAATAGAGAGCCGTGGAAGAAGTTAACTACAGCAGGAAGAACCAGAAAATGAAAAAAAATCAAAATATTTCGGATGAGATGGCGCTCAAAGGGTATTTTAAGATTTTCCTTCGATTTCACCTTGATTTACGTTTGTGGAAAATTGTAATTTCCTCGTGTGATACAGATAGTTTTGTTCTGATTTACATTTGCTACATTTGCTGTACTTTTGGTGAACCCAAGTCACTCTTGAAAATGAGACTCAACCTGATCTCTCGGGTTCTCGCCTGGTCACAACAAAACAACAACGGAACTTGAACAACGGCGACGCAATGTAAACCCACGGAGCGGTTTCGAGATGACTCGGTCTGTGGGCCGGCCACGAGGATGAGTCTTGATGGAGTGGTGGGGCGAGCGATGGGGTTAACTCCGACAAGGCGCAAGCCGCGGAGACCCATCTCTTCAGACGCGGCCACGGCTGAGAGTCAATCGCGTCCGTTCTCCTTCGCCTCGCGAAGAGACGAGTCAGTCTTCAGTGGCCCTCTCTGAAGGTGACTTTATACACAGCCGTGACAAGAAATTGCCACCACACGTGCGCGCACACACGCGCACACACGCCGGCGTGCCTGAATACAAATTTCCAAGCGCACGGTTCGTGTTCGAGTGTGTTAGTGTGCGTGTGTACATGTGTACGTCGACTCAGCCTCAAATGAGTACCTGGTGCGGTGTTTAAACATCGTCACTAGGGAGACAAAGGCGGTCGGGCGTGGTGCTGGCCAACCACCCCCTCGTGTGCCGTGCCGGCCTTCATAGGTGCTCGCTAACAGCACTTGCCCCAACAGTCTGTTCAGGCTATACGGGGGATATTTGTCTTTTGTACATGTGTCCGTGTGTGTTGGAGCGGTGGTGTAGCGGTGAGCGCACTTCGCTACGCACCCCGGCCACCCAAAGTTCGATTCCCGCTCACGGCCAACATCAGTGACGATTATCTGAACTGGGCCCTCCCGCTGTCGACTCAGCATCAAATGAGTACCTGGCGAGGTGTTTAAACATCGCCACTGGGGAGACAAAGGCGGTCGGGCGTGGTGCTGGACACCCAACCCCTCGTGTGCCGTGGCGGCCTTCATAGGTGCTCGCCAACAGCACTTGCCCCTACAGTCTGTTGAAGTCTATACGGGGGATCTTTGTGTGTGCGTGTCTGTACGAGGAGCGATGGCATGGTGCTTCGTGCACTGCGCTATGATCCAGGCGACCACCTGACTTCGATGCAAATAAAGTGGGAAGTGTTGCATGTGCACGAGGTCATCTCGGTCTCAAATGATAGCCTGCCGTGGTGTGTTAGCACGGCAGCACCGGGGAGAGAGACAAAGGGTGACCGGACGTACATGGTGCTGGCTATTCTAACTCCTTGTGTGCCGTGCAAGTCTTAAATCATAACAGTCTAGAAGGATACATGCACATGTGTGGGCCATTGTGAATTCATTGCACCACATGCATCATGAGGAATATTTTTGTTTACGGGTTGTTTAAGGCATGGGAGTTTATTTACTTATTTTGGTATAGCCCTGTGAGCCATTCGGCTCTTGAATCGGGTGCAACCACAACAAACAAAAACACGAACAAGAAAAACATCTTAAAGTGACCATGTGACTGTGCAAACAGAAAATCCATGAAAAAAACAGCAAAATATTCCTGAAAAAAGCACCGTACACCAACGCTGTGTGCAAAAAATCCCAGTGGGATGCAAGTCAAACAACAACCACAAGAAAACTTAAATTAACGCCATCAGTCTAACTCCGTACTACAACAAAACAAACATGTCCAAACCAATAAACATTTTCGAAATCACCAAAAAATGAAGCCATAATTGCAACGTAACAGTAATCACAGGGACTGTGACCGAATTTTTACAATAAACTACATAAATAGCATGTAACACCAAATCCTAGAGCCATAGCTGGCTGCATGAGTTACTCCACAACAACAGAAGCATTAGTCGGAGTATCAATTTTTTCAATGCACCTTTAAGATCAGTACGCTAAATCAAAATACAGATAATACTTTGCAGCGTCATCCGGAGCGAAACATTTTATTTTACTTTACGCCAATGAATAGCAGTGGCAGCTAGGGGTGTACAACTCCTCTAGAGCAGTTCTGAGAGAAGATCTCATAGGTAGCGATTCAAGTTGCAATTTATTGGCAATAGCATTCCAGACCCTGGGGGCATCAATAGCAAAGGCCCTTCCTCCAGTTTTTGTACGGCAATAGGGAATGTGAAGCTGGTAAATGAGCAAAGACCTGAGGTCAAATTTGTTCTTTGAAACAGAGGAGATCCAGCAGGTAGTCTGCGGATTTTTTTGTAAGTACATCGTGAATAAATAAGATCTGGTGCACAAGCCGTCGAACATTAAGAGATGTTAAGTTTGACCCAATGTAGAGATGACAGTGGTGAGTCCTATATGGGCAGTTCAATGTAAATCTTAAGGCCGAGTGATAGATGGAATCAAGATTTTTCAGTACAGTACTTGGGGCTGATTATACACGATGTCACAGTAGTCAAGTAGAGGCAGTATGGTAGCTTTTATCAATTCCAAACGGAACATTGGGGGGAAGCAGTGCTTGTGTCGATACAGAAAACCAATTTTTTATTTTTGTCTTTTTACCAATATAATCAATGTGATCTTCAAAATTCAGTTTTGAATCCAGAATGAACCCAAGATACTTATAGATCTTGACTTGCTCTATTTGATAATTATTTAAGGAATGTAATTGGGGAAAAATAACTTCCTGCTTTAGTCCTGGTGAGAAGCATAGCACCTTGGTTTTGGAGGTATGCAGGACTAGTTTAAGAGCAACTAGCTGATGTTGTAGTTTGTTGCAATCACCCTGTAGCTTAGCAATCACGTCATCCGGAGAGCGGCCAGCAGTAATCAGTATCGTGTCATTTGCAAAAAGATTTACGGGAGCATTGAAGAACAGTACAACAATGGATTCTGAGGCAGTGTCTTCTGCTCTCCACATCGTAGCTACGTCAGGCATAAGGCTCGGGCGGGTTTTGTTCTTTGTCAGAGTCAAACATCAAATCGGAGTCAAACATCAAAGCGTCTTTCAATGAACGGTGCTTATTTCCACTACTGGTCCTGAGCGAGTCGTAGACATTCCACATTTGTATGGCAGGGACAAGTTTATCCGTATGACAGGCGGTTATTGGTGACCGAAATGTTTAATTTGCTTTATGGAAGCCACCCACTTTTAATCAGCACATCAAATTTGATTAATTCTGGGGTCAAAATGATAGATTTTCTACTTGTGAGTTCAAATAAAAGTACGTGCATTGAAAAACTTGTTTTTGACCTATTTTTTGTTATCGTTCTATTATACAGATCCCCCCCCTAATGCTCTCCGTCACCGGGTCTTGCGTCCCTGTACCTAGAATCCACAGTGAGTGGCGTCCGGACAAGGTAAGAGTGGTGGGGGGGGGGGGGGGGCTAGGGCCTCGTCACAGCACTGCCGCACGTCACTGCTGAGGATCTGGGTCTTAAATCCGCGATTCAGACGCCTGTGGTTAAACCGGGTCTCTCAAGTGCAGGCGAGTCGACTGTCTTGAGCCATCATTTGGAGTGCTTGGCTGCTGTAAAATTCCACACGTGATAAGCCACTTCCGTTGAGCTCTCATTTGTGGTCAGGTCGGTTCTGAAAAAGAGCTACATAGCTCAGTGGGCCTTGCCTGGTAAAATAAAAATAGTAATATTTCAAAATAGTATTAGTGATAGCCAGGTCATTTCTGGAAAATGAGCTACGTAGTTCAGTGGGGCTTACGCGGTAAAAAAAGGTAAATCGTTAGTTTGCTGGGCAATGGATTGTATGTATGATATCGTACAGAAAGTAGGTTGCTGTGATCGGTGTGGAGTTCTCGTACGTGTGAGTTTTCGTGAAGCACTCCAGTTGCCGTTCCGCAGCGAATGGCACTCCGAAAGTATTTGGTCAAACATTCTCATGCACGAGACCCTCTTGAAATTGAGCCTTGAGACTCAGCAAGCATTTTTCTGGCTAAAGAAATAGATGATGACTCTGTTAACCTGGCCTGCGGACTCGCTCTCAAAAGCTGGTGGGTTCACATCCTCCTTGTAGACCACCGATGTTGTCACCGTAATAATCATCCCTCTGCTGTTCATGGAAATGAACAGCAGTGTGGGATATCAACAGTGCTTGTCCTATGGAGACGATGGTGCCTGCCATAGAAATGTAGAATTTCCACCACCGGCTCAAGGTCACCAATGAAGATGATTGTTGCCCACTTTGATTTTGTGTCAGAATATGCATTTATATTCGAGGAATCTGATGAGCTATGAAGCTCTTTTTTCACACATGTCCAGTAGGGGCGGGTCATAAACGTTACAACAACAAAGAAAACAAAAACACGACAGGAGTAAATGCGATCACTATAAAATACAAACTAAATGATGTTTTTACTTTACCAAGTAAAGCCAACTGAGCTATTAGCTTATTTTTCAGAAGCGACCTGGCCACGACGTGGCTTATCATGTGGACATTTATAGCAGCCAAACAACCGAAATAATCTCGACGCGACTCTACCGAAAGAACCAAACAGTAATCGAAATGATCTAAACGCACGTTTCTAAATGTGGAGGGAAAAACCGGAGGATCCGCAGAAAAATCCACGCAGCCACAGGGAGAGAGACACACAAACTCCAAATATACAGCAGGCGTCGAGGTCAAACCCACGACCTCTTGCATACCAGGCGAGGAAGATTTCGTCACGTCACCGTGATTGCACGCACACACAAAATGACTTTAAACTGCCGTGTTATGAGAATTAGTTTTCCCCTTTTTTTCTGGCAACAAACAGGTGTTAAGATATTAGAACACCAAACTGAAACCTTTTTTTCAAAGACAATCCATTTCTTATCGGAGTGTTTTTTGTTTGCATTCTGACCACAAGCATTGTGGTTAATGCGACATGATTCCTTGTAAAAAAAACTATTCTCATATTTTGATACTGGCAAAGGAGGTCCCATGATGTACCGTTGTGTTATTTACTCATTAATATTACCAGTTCCAAGTATTGAACATATCGGATAGATTTGCCGTACAAAGGATAAACACTTCGCGAGGGGTATATAATTGTGTGTTCATGGTGAACACAAGAGGCCTCATTGAAGGGACTGAGAGGTCGTTGCCTCTGACAGGCATCCACCTGCTCCACTGATCCATTCCCTGCCTCTTCTCTTGTCTTCTCTCCCATCTCCCTCCCCTGTGTAGAATGATCTGTTCTGTGAAGTCATCTTCTTGGCGTCACCCTCTGGCACAAGGCGGCGACACACTTGCTTGCATGTCGCTGAGGGTTCAGGATATAAATATATTCACACCTCCGATTAGCACGGTTGGCAAGGTGCGGTGCGAAATAAGTTCAACATGCGTACATCTCTTGACAATGTAGCAACAACTAGAATGCATTTCGGGGTGCCTTCAAAAAATTATACATATATGTATACTGCAGTGTGCACAAAAAATCCCCTGGGATGGAGAGGCGGTGAATTTCGGGCAAGCACATTGATGGAGAGAAGTCATCGCCTGCAGGGGCCTCGTCGCCACTCTGCTGAGATCGCTGTCGTCCTCCTGCTCGCTCACTCGGAACCCTCAGGAGCAGCCGCACTCCGCAATAACCAGGGGGGGGGGGGGCGAAATTGATGAATGCTTCTCTGCCACGCACGTCCACTGTGACACGTTAGGCTCGGGCGCTTGTTTTGTCCGTTGGTTGATCGTGGCCGTCGGTGAATATCAGCGTCGCGTGTTTGATTAGCTGACAAGGACGCTGAGATTATTCATAATCTTTGCTGTCGGGGAGTTTGGGATCACTTGCGGTACGCGGTTATAGCCATTCTAAAAAAAGAAGGCTTGCTGGCAGATGGGCATCGGCTAGAGAGAGCCCCAGAGAGCCTCTCTCTCTGGGGATGTTTTGATCTATTGTCCCATACTGTAAGAGGTGTGAGTACCCACGCTTTACCCCACCTCAACACGCGGTCACTGCATTGCACGCTTTTAGGTGCACTTCCGCAGCCGCCTGGAAAGCTCTTCCTTCCGATTATTAGGAAGGTACTGGAGCTACGCACTGTTAAGTCTGGATCAAAACCCATAACTTTTTTTGTTTGTTGTTTTTCCCGCGCACCTCCGATGAGTACGGTTGTCTATGTATAGTGCATAAGAAGTTCAACATACAGCACATACACCACACGTGACCAGCTGATCGACTGTCGTGAATAATTTAAGACTGTTTTTGTATAGCTTGTTGTAACTTTCTGACCCGCCCCTACTGGACATCTGTAAAAATGAGCTTCATAGTTCATCTGATTTCTCCAGGATAGATAAAGATTCTGATTATAACTGCTGGGTGGACACAGGCAGGGAGATTTTAAAGAAATTGCACCGTTGTTTTAACTGCCGCGGCGGGAAATTGAACCGGCGACCTCCGGATCGAATGTCCAGTGTTCTACCAAATATAGCTGATACATATTTGTACATTGTAATGCTTCTCTCAAATGTAACATATATTCATTCCCAATCGATTCTCTACAATCGCTTGAATTGCTCGTTGGACATTTCATTCTGGATGTGAATGGCTTTGATCATTACCTTTTAGCTCTCATAGCTCGAATCTCGCGAATGTTATAGATTTCCATTAAACTTTCCACTGTAAAAGGTTTGATGTCTCGTATAGCTTAAGGGTTTATATTTGGCAGCGAGATTTGATGGTATTATCTGCGTTTGTATTTTGCTTTTATTACTCTGGTCTCACTTGGAAAAGAGGCTGAGCCCTTCCTTGGTGAAATTTCCACTCTGGCCCAACATTTCACCCTCATTTAAACAGAGAGACGCGGCCTTTTTAAATTAGCTCCCTGACTTTAATCGTTCATGTTGTCACTTCTAATCCCAGTTGGGTGGTCAACTCCACCCATCAGTTTTCTTTCTTACTCAATAAGTGAGATACTAAATTTAGACGGTGGCTGCTGCTAAAAGTCTTTTTTCCTTCTAGTTTTTTTATTTCCATTTCTGCCTGCCAGCATTAAAACTCAACCATTAAAAGCCTTTTTTGGGGGCTCGCCGTTAAAACGATAATATGCGTGCAGACTCTGCGCATCAAAGGGATCCTCTAAAAATAGCCCTCGCTATACGGGCACGTGGCACAATACTCCAGTTCCAATTCCCCTGCAAGGGATTCCTTCAATTAGGCTATTGAAGCTCGCCTCAGTCTTGAATCGCCCCTTTGAAAAACACCGACAGTGATGTTGCTTTTTTTGGGCCACAAAAGCCGAGGCACTAATGGGGGGCATCAAGCAGTGGGCCTCGTGGACACACGCGGGCACGGTCGCTGAAGATCGCAGTGGATTCACCCCCCCTTCCTTCACTCCCTTCACATCCCCTCTTTAGTTACCTACTAAATAAATAAATGCGCTGTCCCTACCCATGTTCTTGGCGCCTCTCGCTCGCACACCTCTACACTGTTTAATCTTTTCGATTAGGCGTGTGTTTATATCACTGTTAGGCTAAAGTGTCGAGCTTACTTGCACGCGTGCCTCACCTTTTCTGGCACCTGTGTTTAGTTTACGACGATTAAATACCTTGTCTGTTAGCTGCGCAATATTCCTCTGGAACATTCGTGCTTTTGCTTTGCTAAACTTGACCATCCGTGTAACATATAAAACATAAACATGCGGTTCACCACTCCACCGCTGCTCCAGACACCCCTGATGCGTTCAAATATACTTGTAATTCCATTCAACCTCTAAACTCAATGACTAACAAAGGTTGAACAGGCGTGAACAACACAGAGACACCAACAACCGTCAGCCATTGCGTACCCATCGCTTGTAGAGGGCCTCTCTCTCCGTCTCGCGATTCGTCTCGTAACCCCCCCCGCCCCGGCACACACGAGCTGATTTTATTGCCCCATCTCCATTGTGGCCGGGCACTCCAGGCGTGTTATCTCATCGGGGTGCCATTCCGTCACCGGACTAGTCCATCAGCTATCGTCCCATCGAGTGTTGTGTGTCCTACCCAAGACCACTTTACTTTCCCGTAACAGTCAACGTGACGTCTCTGATTTACGCCTGTTCCCTGACCCACGTGCTCCTTGGCTTATTGTCTCTCAGTGCAATTCCAAGCACACACCTCTCCGCGTTTCACTCGCTAGCTTATCCCCCCCATTGTATTTGTCACTGCGCCATGCGTTTTTGATACGTAAATCACAGCTGGCAGATTTTCATAGAACCCTGGCATCGTCTGCATGCACCTGGTATTGAGCAGCCAAAATCTTACTTTCTAGTGACTTTGTTAAAGTCCAACTCTATGATCTGCGCAGTGATGCAAATATTACTTAAATCGATCTCTAACACTCCCAGTGGTTCGTATAGTCCATCAAAAACCCATCACACTAATGTGATGGCCCCTTGACCTCCGCCTTATAATCCCCTGCATTACGCAAATATGCTTAGCGAAAGCTGGTTGGTTGCATTACGCACGTATGCTTGAGGAAAGCTAAGTCGGCTGCGATTTCGGAGCTGCGATGGTAAATTCTAATCTCAAACACGATACTTGTTCGGACTCGGGGGAGAACAAAACCCTCAAGGTGCAAACATTTAACGGTTATTACTTTATGCCCATCATAGACAAGTTTCCATTGGTGAAATGCAGGAAAAGATGATTGGATGACCCGTTATCTGAACGTGAAAATTACGTCACATTTCCAGTAAAGTTGTATCCAGTTCGGGAATCATAACAACCCCGAAGACTAAAGTGTTGAGCTGATATGCAATAATTTATGATTGAACCTGTATTTGACCCAAAGATGAGGCCATGTTTAAAAATTTCCCTTACTCTTTTCGGACTGGGTGATCATAAATTCCCTCGATTACAAAGAGTTGTTTCGCTCGTCCATTGGGAGCACGGCTGGCATCGCACGCTGCCATGCTCACAAATGTGAGGACTTGTTTATGGGGGAGTTTCGAGCGACGACTCCGCACGTTGTGTTACAACTGTTGGGCAGGCAGAATATATCTTACGCTTTGGTTCTCTCGGTAAAGTCACGTAGAGAGAAAATAAACTACAATATTTTTAAAATACATACTTTATTTTATTTTATTTCTACGTGACTTTACCGAAAGAACAAAAGCATAATTCCTGCAGTCACGAAAGCTTCAAATCAAGTTAGAATATATATTTTTTCGCTCAATGTTTGCGCATAATGAGAGCAGTGATGCTTCATTTACAAAGGGAATTGCCTTGGAAGGAAACATTTTGGGGCCGCTCCCAATTGCTCTGATTTTATTTTAGCCTGCTTTGCCAAGGAGCGCTGTTTAGGCCATGCCACACGTTAAATTCCCTCTAGGAAAAGAATGTCTTCGTGTTTCTTTTGTCAAACGAACAGAGAGACACTGCCTTTTTTTACAGCCCAAACTCAGCGATGGGACTTCCATATTTCTATCGTGAGGGGTTCAGTCCCTCCGCAAGACAATCACTATTGACTCCCCACAACGTGGTAGATATTTTACCAACCTGAGAGGGATGACTAATGGTTTAGTTGACCCACCAACCTGCATTTTTTAACCCACTACCTTTTGATTTTAAGTCACGCGCAACTGTTCGAGATACAAAAAAAATAACTACCGAAATTTATTTGATTAAAAAAACACATTTATTTCCCTCCCACCCCCGACAGTGGCGGCAATCGCCATTACATTTCCGCTAACTGACGAGGCTTGTCCTTGTCCCTTTGATTAAAAGTCAGCGGCTTGCCATGGGGGGGGAGGGGGGGGGGGCACCTTCATTTTGTAAACGTGTGACCCCACTCAGGGGTTTCATACGCGAGACACATTCGCTCTGCGGGGCTTATCAACTCAGATTTATTACACTTCAGCGGGCGGCTATTTTTGGCGGTGCTGTACACGCACACATGCAGCCACTTCACGACAGCCTCTCGGTTTTTTTCTTTCCCTTCACTGCCCCTTACTGCGAGGACAGTGATAACGGTTTAATGATTTTTCCTTTCCGTACAACCGCTGAGGGATGTTGCGTGGTTTTTTTTATCTCGGCAAATTTCATTTGCTATTTAAGCAAACAGATTTAGCTTGTAATTTGTAGATTGGGTTCGATTTGCGAATTTACTAAATCAATAAGGGTACGCAGATATAAGGGTTGCGTTTTTATAAGAAGAATAGGGTTTTTCCCCTTTTTTCTGGCAACAAAACTGAAACCTTTTTGCAAGGATTCATGTCTGCATTAACCACAATACCTGCAGTCAAAATGCAAACAAAAAAACATACTATGATAATATATGTGGCATTGTCCTTGAAACTGATTGGTCCACACAAAGGGACGGCTTTCTTTTGAGCCTCGACCCAATTAGTGCTCGACCAGATGACGCCAAAAGGCGTTACACAGCTCAAAGACAATGCACTATCAAAGTAATGATGGCTCGGGGTGAGCATCTACATCATTATACCTCCTTTGCCAGTACCAAATTCTTATATTTTGGTACTGGCAAAGGAGGTCTAATGATGGTTGCGTTTTTGTTTGATCTTTTTTGCATTAAATCCTCAGTACAGCTTACGCTTGTGTTTATCTGGCAGGTGAAGCTCAATGCTGCACGCAGTGTACAGTCCACGTGGGGTAGTAGTGTCGTCCGCGTATGAACCTCGGCAGAAAATAACAAAAATACATTTGGAGGACTACATGTACACACAACATTCAGTTTCTTAATGCACCCGAAAGGCCTAAGGGCACTCAAAGGCCAAGGTTAAAAGGCCAATTCCTGAAGCAGAATATTAGTGCTGGATACAGTCACATTTGCAAACGTGATTTGTCACTTTGATCCTTACCTGTGTAGTAGTATTGATTGTTCAATGCTAATGTGCCAGTCTATTGAGGGACTACTGTGTGCTGTTATCTTGGTGTGGTCTGTGAGTCGTTGTTGTTTTTGCTGCCCTGCCCAAGCTTAATGAATCGGACTTATATCATGAATGGATTTTTATATATAGTGACTTACCTTTTCTGCTATTTTACAAATCCCATCGTTGTTTTGTTTGTATTGTTGTTGTAACTTGCTGACCCGCTCCATACTGGACATCTGTGAAAAAAGAGCTTCATAGCTCATCGGATTCCTCCTCCTGCAGTCTAAATAAAGATTCGGATTCTGGTTCTGAATGCCGTTTATTCCACCAACGCTTTGCTCCCAAAGTTGTTGCACTGTTACCCTCTAAGGCCCCCAACTCCGAACAGCCTCGTCAGCACCACTATCCGGCTTTAAGATATCCCAGTAAATAAAACAAAGATTTTTATAGTAGGCATGTAATAAGGCATCGAGTCACGGCTTCACATCGACTATTTCGGTCCACGCACCACATCACATGTGTGATCATTGATTACTTGTGATTTAGGCAGGCTATATTCACATCACATGCTCATGTTACGTCTACGCTAATGGGTGTAAAGAAAACTGTACAAGCGTGATGGAAAATATAATGAAACAATACTAACGAGAGAGTTTAAAAAAAGAATCGAGTTTTTTTTTTAGAAGGATAACGTCAAATCATTACAATTATTTAACTGCTGGGTGATTTAATTATTTTTGAGAAAAAATAAATTAATTCAATTCACAGCAGAGGTAACTCTATTTTTATATTCTCTATCTTTCAAAGGCACTCGGTTTATTTGTAGACTTAATGCATTTTAAAACGTGCACTCAAATAAAAAAAACATTCAGACCTGTGAAGGTGCAGCAACAAGGAATCTTAAATTAGTCGCGGCATGCGCCTTTGTTGACGTTGCACATTGACACCTCCATGAATAATGACGCACTATAAATAATAATAATGATGTTGATGAAAACGACGACGATGATGATCATTGTCCACCGTAAATAATGATGATGATGATTCATCTGGCTACATCACCATCACTGGGTGTGCAACAACAAAAAACCACCGCTCTGACACGGGGCGGTCAAACGGTCAAACCGGGAGCCGACGACGATCATCTTCATCCCCGGGATTCGTCCTCTGCCTCCCGGCAAGGGCAACCCCGGAATGTGCGCGGACCCCCGCCCTGGGCGTTCTCCTCCTCTCCCCTCTCCCCTGCCCCCCCCCCCCCCCGGCTAACGTTGAGCGGAATTTACGGCGCGCGTGCGTGCGCGCGCGTGCGTCCCCACCTCCGCGGCCTCCTCCTCCCCGCTCCTCTGCTGCCGTGGCACGGACGCGCATTTTATTTTAATCCCCAGCGCCGTATTTCACGCAGCGGTAACCGTGGCGAGCCGCGAGAGACGCAAGGGGAAGGGTGGGAGAGAGGGGGGGTGGGGGCAAACGCCGTCCACGACCGTCGTCCACCTTCACCGAAGGTGCCCTTCCTGTTTAAACAAAAAAAATGAACCACGATGCCTCGGCCAGGAGCATGAACCATCGTCACACAAACTCCGCTCATCCTCGCAGCGGCGGCTTTTGTTGAAGCCATCGGATCAAGACGGTCACCGCATCGCGCGCTTTTTCGGGTGCGCTCATGCGGCCGTCTGGAACGCTCTTCCTTCCGATATTAGGAAGCCACTGGAGCTACGCACTTTTAAAATCTAAATGTAAAAAATAATTTATTTTGAAAATGCTGTTTGTGTTTCGTCTCCTGTTCTTCCCCCGCACCTCCGATTACCGCGGTTGGCAACGTACGGCGCGAAAGAAGTTCAACGCACATACCTAAACATTCCTCTTATTGTCGTCATGTCACCCACTGTGCTCTTGACTTTCTTCTACGATAAAACAGCGATCGTAATTGCAAGCAAATTTGCATATGGATGTGCAATATAGGTTAATGTCAAGGAGGCCGATGCCACGGTTGTCACCACACATCACATCACGGACTTCTGATAGAAGCTACAGTCGTTGCCAAGATCCCCCAGGTCCGCTCCTACAGGATCGTGCAGTAGTACCCACGCGCCATTCACCAGTGCATAATCCAGCAACTTTGGGAGGGAATGGTTGCATATCTGTCCACTCCTTATCAGTGCCATACCTTACTGCAGACCAATTCAGACATTATTGGTCACCCCGAGCCCCGCATAAGTCTCAACGTTGATTGTACAAAGTCCCATCACAAGGGAGAAACACAAACATAGACATTTTTGGTGCCCTATAATGAAACGGCTGTGCGCCGTATGGCCCTGAAAACTCAATTTACCTGTACAAGAAAACGGGGGAGGGGGCCGTCCATAAATGACGTCACGCACCGAGGGGGGGAGGGGGGTCAGACATTTGTGACGATGTGTGACGAGAGGGGGGAGGGGTTGAGAAATGTGACGTCACATCAAAATGCGCAACTTTAAATAAATAATCAAATTGAATTGTTATAACAACACTAATTTTGATACATTTTCATGATTAACTATTTGATTATTTAAATTTACTAAGGTCACCTTTTATTTATTCCATGAAAGAGCATTTTGCTTCTCCATGGGAGAATTCACTTTTTTTTTAAAATGTGAATGATTGTTATTAAACATTTTGATTCTAATTATTCTACCAGGACTTTTCATTCTGTGGAATGAATATGTGATTGTTATAATTGTACTCTACAAAATTTCAAGTATTTTTATAGTTATAATTACTTTTAATATTTTATAATTACTTTTAAAATTTTATAATTATAAAAGAATTTGAATATAATATTCTGAACATCTGCAGTTTGAGTTAGACGTTGAATATTTTCAAATAAATTATATGCAAAATTTCAGCTTTCCAACGCCTCCTTTTTAATAAATGTTTTCTCCTACAACATCAGAGTGCAGCACCACATTAAATACACACTACAATGACAATAGTTTAAAGTGATTTGAAGCATGTTTCATTTTCAAAATGGAAATATAGTTTTGGGGGGGGGGGGGGCAGAGCTTTGTGACGTCTTATTTGAGGAGGGTCTGACTTTTTGTGACGCCATGTGACGAAGGATGGAGGGGGGGGTCAAAAATCGGTATGGCAAGCGAGTTTTTGAGAAGCTCTGAGTGTATTTCCCCTCTCGTGTGTGTGGGTATTCTCTGGGCACAAGCGCAGTGGTGACGTCACCGTCACTTCGTGGCGAATGACGTCACCGCCACTTCGTCGCGAATTACGTCACCGTCACTTAGTGGCGAATGACGTCACCGACACTTAGTTGCGAATGACGTCACCGCCACTTAGTGGCTAATGACGGTTGTTGTTGTTGTGTGGGCACTGCGGTCCCTTCCCACAAGCCATATCGCTCATTAATGGAATAGGCCAAAGCAGCCCGATGTAGGATCCTCCTCCTGAGACTCGTTGAGACTATTCTGAATAAAGGGCATAAGTATACATTTCCACTGTACGTGGAAATGTATTCTTAATAAGAGATTCTAATTATGACATTAGTGTTCTTAAATCACTGTAATTCAATTTTTATTTAAAGCTTTCGTGACTGCAGTAATTCATATTCTTAGCTCTTTCGGTAAAGTCACGTTGAAGGGAAACAATAAAATAATAAAATATATATAAAAAATAAAAATTCTCACGACGTTTCGACCATAACACAAACGGTTGTCAACCGACACACCTGATGACGACCGTTTGTGTTATATGGTCGAAACGACGTGAGCAATTTTTATTGTTTTATATTTATTTTATTGTTTCTCTTCAACGTAACTTTACCGGAAGAGCTAAGAATATGAATCACTGTAATTCGTAAAAAAAAAGTCAGAATGTCATACAAACGAGTGCTACTTTGTGAGACACCAACAGTGGTACCGTAGTTCTATAGACTGGATTCGCGCCATAGGGAAGCGGGATTTTAACTTCTGGCTCAGGGCTGGCTCAGCTGCTGGCTCAGGGCCGCCAACAATTATGAGCACTTCCCCAAGCTCGCTCGAGCATCTCAGATGCTGACTCGGTAGACTCCTCAGGGGTGTAACGATTCACCCCCCGCACCCCGGCAAATTCGAAGAATGTTCACGATTCACTGGTTGTAATTCAATTCAAAAATTATTATATTTTATCACTGGGGTGAATGTAATGGCCTCCATCGGTTGCAGGGGACACACTAACCCATTACACACATTGTGTACAAATCAAAGCACATCGAGTTGTAGACACACGCTCAGCAATCGACCCGAGCCGATGGATCCAAACGCATCGATACATCGCTAACGTTCATCGCGGGGTATAGCCAGTGGAGCGTTGAACCAACGTTGTGCCAACGTTGTGCCAACGTTGGCATGTTGACTGGGTAGGTGCGTGGGAATGAGGTGCCTTTGGCAGGCCGCTATCCCTGGAGGCGGCGTGTAAGAAGTGAGATGTGGCAGCGATAGAGCGGTGGCATCCTGTACGATGTAAACACTCGCTTCGTAATTTGTGGGAAATTGTCCACATTTACGCGCGCAAAATAAAATTGCCCCCCGACAATTGAAGCAATTGGCGGGACCCCGGGGTCACCATCACTGCCCCGGGGTGGGAAAAACCGCGTAGCGACACGAGTCTCGCTGCCTTACCGACAACAAAACTAGCGTCAATCGATTGGCCTCGTCGAGAGCTACTCGGGGCGCTGAGTTTCGTAAAAAGTTGAAAAACTACATAAACACGTTAAATTCACTGCCTGGGGGGCGGGCTCGCCTTGGCAAAGAAGCTGAGGATCGACGACGGCTGACCGGAGGGCGTCGTCGCCGCGCGCGACTGCGGCGGACGCCCCCCGGGGCTCTCGTTTGGCCGGTGGGGTGGCGCCCATCGTGGTGATCGCCGCCTGCTGGCGCTTGTTGGTGCGAGTCTGGGCGGGCGGCACGTTGCTGGCGGGGTCACGAGTGGGCGGACTGAAGAAAAATAATAATTATTGACCTGATTTTTGTGGGACCCCGGGGTCCCACCAAATTATTCAATTGAACGCAGAACAAAAAGGATAGCTCTTTGCTCCATATTCATCACATCCATTTCCTAATACGTTCACATACACAGAGCAAAAAAAAACGTTTATCCTTCACGGAAAAAAAAACACATTTCAATCGTCCAGCCTATTATAGTGCTTCCGGACAATGTTTTACAGCAGCAGCTGTTTACGAAGCAAACTCAGGACCATATGCCCAGCAGCATCGTGGGTCATCACTGCAATCGCCATGACCATCGTAAAGCTTACTACCAGCACGGGATGGGGGGAAGTTGTGCGCACGAACCGTGGACATTCCACGTCGCTTGCGGGGGTAGCCGCTAACCGTGGACATGCTGATACCCAATAATTATTAGGGCCTTCCAGAAGGTCCAAACAAAGGGCGAGGTGGGTGGGTGGGGGCAGATCCCACGCGTGTGTAAACGCACAGCGCGCAGAGCTCAGGGCGCGTGCAGGTGGTGGGGCTTCACGTCCGAGTCGGTCTCGGACTCAAGGCCATGGGGCACCTCGAAAAGCAGAGGCAGAGGTCGGGAGCCTGTTAGGTGAAGGCCAGTGTCGAGGTCAGTCGGGGCCGGATCCTCTAGGCAACCAAGGTCACAAGAAGAGCCATTTTTTTTGGCGAATTCGGTAAAAATATATAAATCTATATTTCCGGAGCCGCAATGCAATGTGAATATGAAACGGCGGTCCCTAATAAATTAACGTCCCACGAAGCAGCAGCCCTTAAAAGAGCCGCTTACGGCTCCGGAGCCGGCAGGTTTGCCGACCCCCTTGCTCGAGGCTGAGCAGCAGCGTCGAGACCAGGTCCACGGGCCGACGCCGCAACTTCTGAGGCCAAGTTCCAACAGCCGAGAGGGCGTCCTGGAGCCTGCCGAGAGGGCGTCCTGGAGCCAACCTCGAAGCCGCCGAGCACCCAAGACGCAGGCCAAGTGGAGGATAGCCACGTGCAGGGAGATACGAGCCGTGCCTGCCCAGCACGTAGCGTCGCCGTGATGGTAGCCGCGGTGAGTCGGTTGAAAATAGATCCGGCTCAGAGGTTTAATAGTACTCAAGGGGCCGTCCATAAATGACGTCACGCACCTGGGGGGGGGGGTGGGGGGGTGAGACATTTGTGACGATGTGTGACGAGGGGGGGGGGGGGTTGAGAAATGTGACGTCATGTAAAAATGCGCAACTTTAAA